AAGTAGTACTGAAGCAAACTTTAAAAACATAAGAATTTAAGCACATAGCAAACTTTATTTACATGTAAGGCTGCAGTCCTAAGCAAATATACTTCAAAGGGAGCAGCATTTTAAACAAGTAAAAACAGGAATGACTTAGTATTAATCTGTATAAGAGACTTGTAAAAAGTGATGCCTAATATTATCTCAGAATGATACCCAGTAATTTCATCTACCGTATATGAAATACAAAACAAATGCAACATAAAATGCAACATGTAAATAAATGATTCTGATTGGCAACATTAAGCAAGCTTTACCTGTCATTTTCAAAGATCATTAAATTCACACACTCAAAACAAGCCAGCAAAAAAAGGTTCTGATATACAATGGACATAGAACCCCATTTTCAAATTCCCAGTCAACTACAGACTTAACTAACTCATCATTAGCTCTCAGTATTACTGATCTGAAAGGCTTGTTGAAAAGATAACTCCACAAAAATCATTACATCTGCATAATTCTAATCTCCTGGGTAGGGAGAGGTTCACAAAATATTAAATCTTATCTCTATCTAAGATTCTTTTTTTCTGATTTGGAAGTAAAAAATGAAAGCAGTTAATTTAGCTTGCTGTAGTTTTGCATTGTAATTTCTATACTGCTTAAAAGTGAACTCAGCACACTCTAAGCGGTTTACAATCTGTAAGTCAATTGCCCCCAACAAGCTGGGTACTCATTTCACCGACCTGCAAAAGGATGGAAGGCTGAGTCAATCTTGGAGCCCTGGAATCAAATTCACAATGTTGCAGTATGCCCCCATTTATCCAATAAGATTCAGTGGATGCTCATGGGAGTGCCATGATATTAAATGCAAATTTAAACAATGTTGTTGGGTGAAAGAAAAATGATTAGGATTGAGGTAGGCAGGGAGAGGTAGGCACACACCCCAAACAAATACCAAATCAGTAGGAGCATCCTCAGAACAATACAAAATAAAAGGATTCAGCTCCTTCTCATATAATCCTCCACTTCTTGATGTCATTTGCAATTTCAAAAATAGATACAAAATCTGATAACAAATTCCTGTGATCTGGCCTAGCTATGAAGGATTACTGTTCAGGAATGGGGAGGGTGGTGCAATTATAGCATGCCTAATGATCATTCATAACTCCATATTCAATGCAGGGGGCTTTTTAAGGTTTACTAGAAGCTCTGGTGATAGAAGGGTGCATTTGAAAAATTAAAACATTATCTTTGGGCTGCAAAATTTCAAATTTTAGTCTAAAATAATGTCTGGACAAACTCAATATTTATTCCAATTAAGTCTTGCCACAGCACAACAATGGTCTGTGCCAGTCTTCCTGTGAGAAGGGTTTTGTGTTCTTTTGTTTGAATGCAACCTTTCATCCTGTTCTAGTAAAGTTCTTTGAAAGGTAAAGATTGGATTTCAACAAATAATGAGTCCTGCTACTAAACATTCTTCTATATAATTACCAAATGAGGCTTGTTAAACCCAATGAACACCATTTCCACAGTGGTTTTGTAATAAACCATTTAATGCTATTTGGATCGTACTCAACATTCTCCAGGTAATTTTGTGGTCAATTGAAAACAAATAGAGATTATGTTCAGAGCATTAACTCTAGCATCTTCATAGGGCCACAGCCAGTCCTCAGTCTGATGCCTTCTGTGTAGGACAACAACTTTAATTACTCCCAGCCAGTATAGCCATGTTTGAGGGGTCTGGGTAGAATATCAGCATTTTAGAACAGAAATGATGATTCTTAGTCCAAGAGGACAAATTAAGGCCTAATTATTAAGCAGCTGTTTCTTGTCTGGCATCTAGCACATCTCTAATGGTTGCTTATTAATTTGGTCGTGATTACGCTCAATCATCATGTCAACAAGAAGCATGGAAAATCTCATAGGGGTCTTATCATCTGGCAAGCATGGATAATACAGAAAAGAAATAAGTTATTAAGACTAAACCTATTTTGTTATAGAATCAATATATCTCACATCTGCACTGTGTGTTTTCCAAAGCAAACTGCTACCAGAAGGGAAATGTTGTGGATGGCGGGCATGGAAGAAAAAAATCTTTCTTCCTTTCCTATACCCTCCTCGCCTCCTCCCCACCATTTAAAACACAGGAAAGTTCCTCTCGCTGTATTTTTCTTTGTTGCAGCAGGAGGTGTAGAGAGCCAAATGGGATCTTCCCTGCGGAAACAGCTGACTCCAAACAAAACAAAAACAGTCACAGGTTGCATTGCACAGCATTTCCTCCTGGGTGGCTATGGAGGAGATATGAGCTGCAGTCCCTCAACTGCATGAATTACTGGAATAAATGAGACAGGAAATGTTCATTCCAAAAAACCCACAAAAAACTCCCCCACATTGTCCCTACATTTCATACCATGAGTGTGTACACGATGGGGAAAGAGGCAAAACTCTTAACCCTTACAGAGTTCTGAATAAAATGACAACATGAGATCACCTATGAATCATAGTCAGAATAATAATATACCATGCTTACACATACACACAAAGAGAGACACACACAGAGAGAGAGAGAGAGAGAGATTAGCATCTCGTATCCACCACCACTAGTTATGTTGGTTTATGGAAACTGTATAGACCAATACAATTGACCATGTCTGCTGTAAAATAACTGGTTTCTAGCCTTTACATGCAAAATGAACATATTTCATCCCGGTCAAGTGGTGATTTTTTAATGAAAAGCAAAACTAAAGATGAATCCAATAGCACGCCAAAATGTTCAGCATAGGGGGGGAAACTTTTAAAACTTCTCTTTACATCTTTATTGTCATTTACTAACTTCTATAAATGAATATAATCCAGCTTCATTACCACTAAGGAAAAATACGGAGAGTCCTTAGTATGGACAATGATCCTGCCAAGGAAAAATTGTATAGAAAAAAAGGGTCAATCTGAAAGTGAAAATGGAAGAAAATATCATCCAATATGTCCGTACATGAATCTAAACTACTTTAATCACAACAACAATCTGTTATAACACATCAACTAGATATCAACAGCCTCAGCAATGACATTTTCCCCTCTCAATATCTTACACAAGTGATTAGGATCTCTACATTATATCAGTAGTTTCAACTGCTGTGCTTATTTTCATATGCAATCCTTTCCCAACACTCCTACCTATATCAAGTACTATAATAATAATAATAATAATTTTTATTTGTATACCGCCCTATGGCGGA